TTCTGCCTGGTTGCTTTGTTTTCTCCCATTTGATATCCTAGCACCTGCTCTTTGATTGGTCTACCCTCTTCCACAGGTATTATACACATGCAATGGGAAAGACAGTGCCTGTGCACTGTCTAAATTTCAAAGTCAAGTGTTTAATATGCAATTCAAAGAGACTCTACCAATATCATCATCACCATGATCATAGTACTAGTAGCTAACATTCACTGGATTCTTTCCAGGTGCCAAGTACCGTGTTAATGGCTTTGAATACAATATTGTCAATCAGTTAATAATTGTTAGCTTCTCAGTGCCAAAAGGTTAGTTACCAGAAATACAAAGAGTCTCTATTATGAAACGTGTCCCATGGTTGCTAGGCAAATGGGAAATGTGAAAATTCTAAAATGCTAGGAGAATGTCTATATGGGTGGATTTTCGTGCTTGGGGATGCTGTGATTGGTTTGCTTTATGTTCTAGGGAAATGGTGTCTCAATAAATCCAGTCTAGGTTATTGTTTTAGTGCAGGTGAGTGGGAAAGGCTGCTGTCTTCAGAAACTTTCCTGGAGAAACCCAAGGACAAATCTTGCTGGTTGATTGAACTGCTGGTTCTGAGTTGAGTTTTTCCCAGTCAGTGGCCTTGCTGTGCTGCAATAATTTGGACGCAGCCTCAAATGAAGCAATCAAAAAGAAAATTCCTCTGAAACTCTCACTGGTATTTAATATTTTATTCATTCTCATGTTATTGTGCTTCGCCTGCGGTAAAACAGCCTCCTAGGAGTGAGGCATTAGGAGGCTGACAAGCGTTTTCCCATGAATTGCTACTACAATACAATGGCATTTTGTTTGCTGTTTTGTTTCCTTGTCTTCTAACATTCTTTCTGACTTTCAAGGAAAAAAAGAAGAAGAAAAGGAAACCGTCCTATGAATGGCAAAGAAAAGTTTCTTTTAAACTTTCAACCTTTTTCATTTGGTATTGGGTAGTGTGTAAACATTTTTTTTAATGGTATATATGCTGGTCGCCTCTTCCCTTTTTTGTGCTTTAAATAGCCTTTTTTTTCTTTTACCACATAGCAATGCCTTTCCATTATTGATTCAAAAAAATCAGCAGGAAAAAAAAATCAACCGTGTACACATATTAAGAAAAGAAAGTCAGAGGAAGATGGGTCAACCATCCATTTATCCATGCGGCCATTTACCTATCAATCCATCTCGCTATCCACCCGCCTCTATTAAAATAAATAGCAGGCCCTGTACACATTGCTGGTTGGCTGAAGTTGTGATCTGGACAAAAGGTCTGTTTGGGAAAAGGATGCTGAAGCTCTAATTCTATTTGTGCCGGTTGAAAATCAGGAGGGGTTTTTCTACACTTCACTTTTATTAGATTATTTCTTATAGATGGTTTCTTTTTTCCTCCCAGACGCGTGGTGGAGGCTGCTGAAGCAGTTGGTCTATAGTTGGAATAATTAAATTAACCATTTGGTACAACTTTTAGGGGAGAGCTCGCGTGTAGAAAGCACAACTCCAACAAAACAGGGCGCCGGGGCTGGGGCTCCGGCGTGGCCCCACACGCCTTTCATCTTCTGAGCAGAAGCAGGACCTTGGGCCACAAAAGACGGGCAAAGGGGACGACGGTCAGGGATGGTGGGGGGTGGGGTGGGGTGGGCAGAGGGACGGTGACACAGAACAAAATAAACCTACAAGACCTACAAAGGGGAAAATGAAGTCAAGCGCATTTGCTCATTAGACCATGCGGTCCCAGCGCTGAAAGGTCTCCTGGTACAAAGAGAAGGCACACAGCACCCGGACTGGGAGAAGCCGGGCACCAGGGGGCGCCTGGAGGAGGACTGGGGCCCGGCCCCAGCACCTGGGAGAGGGCTGGCGCGGTGGATCGCAGGAGGCGGCGACCCGAGGCCGGTGGGAGACCCGAGCGGGCGAGGGGCAGAGGGGAGCGCGAGGCATTGCCCAGGACTGGCCCCAGCTGGGCCTTCCCCTCGCTGGCCCTTGCGGGCACCACCTGCGGTCTTGCATTTCCCTTGCCCCGGCTCCTTGGCGGAGTCCTCCTCCTCTACCTCCTTTGGCTTCTCTCGGTGTCATCTTCAAACGCCTAGTCAACACTAGTTCCCCTTCGCTGCACACCGTACTCCCCACCCCGAAAGTCCCCTGGGCACAGGAACTGCCTCTGCGCACTGACAAATTCCCAAAGTTCTACATCATCACCCAAAGAGCATCCTCAAAAGCTATCGAAATAAACCTTGCTCCTCCCAGCTCCCTGCACACTCCACATCCACGGCCCGCTTCTGCCCCAATGGCTTTAGGGCCTGGGGACTGTGCCAATTAGGACCCAAGGTGTAATTGCCTGCACTCGGCTCGGGCGTAGGGCCCCGGTGGCGCCGGCCAGGGAAGGAGCTTCCTGAGCAGAGCACGCGCACTCTACTCCCAACGGAGACACAACTCCGGGTGCACCGAGGCGTGGCGCCAAGAAGGATGTGAGCCTGGTTATTGCAAAGCGCGGACCAAAACGCATCCCCTCGCGGTCACCCCACGTCATTCCATTCTGCAGAGAAACGCTCTTAAACCCCACCTAAGCGGGGTTAGGCTAGGGGGTGCTACTCAGGCCCGGCTCCCCGAATCCACATGCACCGCGGGCGGGCCTGAGGCACTCGGGTCGAGTTCTGAAAACCGGGAAGCACCCTCTCCTTACAAAGTCCGAGCTATTCCAGAAACTTAGATAATCTCTGGCTGTGCTTGACAACCTTAAAGGGGGTGAGGGGATAAACGAGGGTGGGATAATTGCAAGCGCAGCGTCCAAAGGCGCACAGCCACCTCCCGGTCCAAATGCAGATTCATATTCATGAGAGTGGGATAAATAAAGACAAATCCCCACTGTAATAACACTTGGATTCGCATCCGTCTTTGCTGGTCTTTAGGTTTAGGAGACTGAAGACAGATGTTTGCATCTCTTTTCTCCTCTTGTCTGGTGACTATAAAGAGAAACCATTTAGAGAGTTGCAATTTGTTTCCCGCCGCAGTAAAACCTTGTACACATTTATTTTCATTTCACCCCGTGCACAGAAAAGTGCACACTGGCCACCAAGGGCCCTTCTTTATCAAATACGCATTGTACAACATACAACTGCAATAAAACTATCAGCCCTCCCCATAAAACTATCAGCAGGATCCTCTGCGGGTCCCTCTGCCCTGCACTCCGGCCAGTAGAGCTTGCTCACGTCCAGAGGACGCGCCATCACCTGAGACTAGCCTGAAACTCACCCAGCGGAGAAGCACAGGGCTGGGGGGCCGTTGTCCCTGTTTAATCCATTACCGCGTCCGCTGCAGTTTAGTGCGCAATAAAACACGGTGGCAGCGGAGAGCGGGCGCCCATCCACTCCCCGGCACTAGCATCGAATTAAACCACTTAGTTTGGCAAACACTGAACGCCTAAATGCCCCTATAAAGACTTTATGAGTTTGTTACTTTAATTACTGACTTGTTACAGAGCACATAAAGGGGGTAATGAATGCAATAAAACTAATTATCTACACATTTAATTCATATAAAATATCCGGGGTTTGTTTACACCACACGGCGATTCAACTAAGCATTCCCCCTCTTGTCCACCGAGAGGAAGGATTTAATGAAATAGTTTCCCTTATTCTACTAGAGCCTAACGAACCAAATGAAAATTATCCTCCGCTTAAATCATAGGGCCACCGAGGTCCACAAATCACGTCTCGCTTCTTTGTCTGTGCCTCGCTGCCAGCACCCAAGAGCCCGAGGAACTGGACAAGAAAGGTGCCCGACCTGGAGCCTGGGCATTTAAAGAGCGAGGATTTTGCTCACTGCAGTCAGAGAACCTAAAGGGCAAACAGACAGCAAAGCTCCGTTCAAAGCCCCGGGTCTGTGGGGGATTGTGGGCACTTGCAAAAGTGGAGGCGAAAAAAAAAAGAGAGGGAGAACGCCTGAGAGGAGTGGAAGAGATACATTTGGGGGCATTTCAAGCCGGCTCGCTAGTTATGGCGTAATTAAAACGAACAACCGCACAGAACCTCCCAACCAACAAAATGCAAACCTCGCGCTAAGGCAGAAAGACAGAACTGAGCGCAAAGAAGCCATCGGTTGAGAATCCAGATGTTTTACATTCAAGAGCGTTCTTTTATTTTTTTTTAAGAGGCTGTGTAAGCTGAGTCTCTAGAAAAGCACATTAAGTCCCGACAAGAAATGCAATTTATAAGATGCTCTTTTTTTCACCCCCCTCTGCCAGGTGTATTTTAAAGAAATCCGCTTATCGTTCACATAAACCCCCTTGGCCCACTTACTCTATGTTACAGGGCGCCTGAGTCTTGCCAATGTCCCAGTTCTTTATAACATTTCATGCACTTCGGGGGGTAGGCTTGTTGTTAAATTGAGCGTGTAACGCTCTTACAAAACAGGTTTTCTATGACATCAAGGTTTCTTCTCCCTAACCGAGGGGGGGAAAAAGAGGACGAAGAAGGGGGAAACACACACACTATCTCAATTTATGCCTAAGGTATATGATCAGTTAAAAAGGCTTAAAAGCTCGGGGAAATTGGATCAGGGAGAATCGTCACCCAACTTTCATTATTTCCAAGTAGTGTGATTGAATTAAAGGGCAGGGAGCTGGTTAGAAGGGAGGATCAGGGGCTCAGTGCGTAATGGTGTGGTATTAAATTCTAATTAGAGATGCAGGAATCAATGATAGGGAGGTTGGACAGCTCAGTTCCCCAGTGCCAGCCCAATAGACGGATGAGTTATTGTCATGTAAAAAGCGCCAGCAATAAGACCAACCGCTTTGCTATTGTCCAAGTGGAAAGAGCCAAGTTTATTATGAGGACTATATGCTCTAGAGACCTCAGACAAGGCATCTCATAGGAGGCTTTTTCATAAAACTAGGCTCTGCTGGTAGTAAGGAGGCCAGTTTGGAGGCAGGCGTTGAGCTGTGCACATCTCCCCACTCCAGCCACCTTCTCCATACCCATCTTTTATTTCATTTTTCCACTTGGCTGAGCCATTCAGAACCTTTTCAATGTATAAAATGGAATATTCTTACCTCAATTCCTCTGCCTACGAGTCCTGTATGGCTGGGATGGACACCTCGAGCCTGGCTTCAGCCTATGCTGACTTCAGTTCCTGCAGTCAGGCCAGTGGCTTCCAGTATAACCCGATAAGGACCACTTTTGGGGCCACGTCCGGCTGCCCGTCCCTCACGCCGGGATCCTGCAGCCTCGGCACCCTCAGGGACCACCAGAGCAGTCCGTACGCCGCAGGTAAGGACCGCCAGCTTTCTCAGTGGAGGAAGCTGCCTTTCCGCTCGTATATAGGAAGCCTTGATTGCATTTGAAAATGGAAATGTGTTTAGTATTTACCAAACGAAATTTGCTTACACAAATGAAAGAATTTATCACGTTAGAAGCGATTGCAGGGAGGGGTAATTCACTTACAGGGTTACACTATCCTAGTCACACCCGAACCGCCAACAAAATTATCTTAAGCTGCCAAAATGATAGGCATAATTTATTTACTTTGCGATGAGACGTAAAGCTTAGAAAATAATTAAATAACAAAGAGTAAAGCTCATTACTGGCAGTGTCTCTTTTTTAAAGAACCGAGAGCGGCTCACACCTCTTTAGCTGGTCATTTTTATGATTATTCTTTATTATTTCTTTGCAGCACTTTCCCCCAACTTTGGGACCGGGTCAACTTATGAGAATTGAAAAGTTCAAACAGTGAGAGGGTTTGGTAACTTCTTCCCTGGCTCCTTGATATTCCAATTGATGTTTTCGGACTTTTCCCCCCTCTCTCTCTCTTTATTTTTTCTCTCATCAAAACACTATCCCTTGTCCCGGACCTCAGCAATCTCTAATACCCTATTTCAACCCACCCAAAGGCGCTTGTGCCAGGAGGGACCCGCCAAAATCCGAAGTTGGCGCCCCTATTTCTGTACATAACTAATTTGCTCGGTTTTTCTCCGCAGCTCCTCTCGGCCACTCTCACGCTCCGGTGTCGGTGGCGGCTCCAGTGACACCTGACCTTGAAGTCCCCACATTCTGGCTCCGCAGCCCGCGCACTCCAGACCGTTTTGCTCACACTCTGTCTCCTCTGTTGTCCCCAGTTCCGTACAAACTCTTCACTGACCACGGCGGCCTCAACGAGAAGCGCAAGCAGCGGCGCATCCGCACCACTTTCACGAGTGCGCAGCTCAAAGAGCTCGAGAGGGTCTTCGCGGAGACGCACTACCCTGACATCTACACCCGGGAGGAGCTGGCCCTGAAGATCGACCTCACTGAGGCGCGAGTCCAGGTATTGCGCGCCCGGAAAACTACCCGACTTTGTCGCACCCGGCCGGGGAGGGGTGCGGTGGACGGGGGAGCGAGAGGTACTACTGAAGGTTCGAAATCCCCGGGCCTCTCCACAAGGGCCCGAAGCCCAGGGCTGACTAGGGAGGCCAAGCTGGAGTGGCCGTGCACAAGAGGAAAGGTTAGGGCGCTCTCTCTTGGCTATGTAGTCACAGTGACAAAGTGTTTCCCACCCCAGCCAGCGCTGCAAGGCACTAAGGAGGTGACCTGCGGGCAGACCTTGCCCCCGTATTGTAAGTAGTTTTTGCCAAATGCTTCCGAATTCAAGAGCTTTTGACTTGGAGCACTGCATATAAAAGCATTTTTCCAGGAACTATGACTTGCATCAGATCCGCAAAGGGGCTGTGACTCTATGAAGGTCAGAGCCACGGCGTATTCTGAACTTTCAGGGACAGAGGTGCACTCGCGAGCTGGCCAAGGCGCCTCTCCAGGTGTACCCCCCAGTGGAGGGACAGTGCGCACCACTGCTCGCCTCTCCAGGCCCAAAGGCCAGGATGCGCAGGAACCAGACCCCTTCTCCTTCTACCGTTAGAGTTTAACTTCAGACCTGAGACCTAGGGGCGATGGGGAGTTTGAGGTAGCTCAAGAAATAGACCGAGCAAAGGTCCGCCAAAGTCAGGGCTTCCGTTTTAGGGCCTTTCTGGGACTTGCGGCCTGCGTACCTCTCCTGCAAGCCGCCATGTCCCTGGCTTGCTCAATTCACCCTAAGAAAGTTTCTCCGAAGATGCGCAAGCCACAGAGGGGTGGGGGCCGACTTGGTGGGCTGTGTGCGCGTTGGGGGTACCCGCGGCGCCTGGAGTTTAAAGCAAACGGAAAGGGAACGTGCGCCGCCCTAACCCGCGTTTTCCTGTCCTGTTCCTTTGTCCCGCTGCTTCACCGCCTCTCCTCTGGGGTCAGGTGTGGTTCCAGAACCGCCGCGCCAAGTTTCGCAAGCAGGAGCGCGCAGCAGCGGCCGCGGCAGCAGCGGCCAAGAACGGCTCCTCGGGCAAGAAGTCCGATTCGTCCCGGGACGACGAGAGCAAAGAGGCCAAGAGCACTGACCCGGACAGCACTGGGGGTCCGGGCCCCAACCCCAACCCCACTCCCAGCTGCGGGGCAAGTGGCGGCGGCGGAGGCGGGCCCAGCCCCGCAGGAGCCCCCGGGGCGGCGGGGCCCGGGGGCCCGGGAGGCGAGCCCGGCAAGGGCAGCGCGGCGGCGGCCGGGGGCCCCGGACAAGGCTGGGCTCCCGGCCCCGGCCCCATCACCTCCATCCCGGATTCACTCGGGGGGCCCTTCGCCAGCGTCCTATCTTCGCTCCAAAGACCCAACGGTGCCAAAGCCGCCTTAGTGAAGAGCAGTATGTTCTGATCGGGAACCCTGCGGCGGCGGCGGCGGCGGCGGCGGCGGCGGGCGAGCCGGGGCCCGGGCGGGCGAGCGGGCGAGCGGGGAGGCCCAAGGCTACTGTCGTCGCTGCTGCCGTGGCTTTTTCATTGGGAGCCTAAAGTAATCGCGATAAGAATAAAGAGAAAATGGCGTCGCCCCCATTTCAACCCCACTCCTATTCCCATCCTGAACCCCCAAACCAAACAAACAAAAAAAACTTCCCTGGCTTCGCACCTGCCTCGGGGCCGCGCAGACGGGCCAGGGCTCCGCCTGCTGCCCGGGCGGGAGGTGTGAGCAGCGCGGCCTGGACTCGGGGGCACTCTCAGGGGGCTGTGTCTGCGTGTCGTGTATGTCTGTCTCTGGGAATGTGTGTCTGTGGCCCGGGCAGGTGACAGGGAGAGGTGGGTGGTGGTGGGGGGGCACAACCAACTCAGTGACTTGCTTAGAAAAAGAGAAATTTTAAAAAATCTCCCCCAAAAAAAAAAAATTTAGGAAGGCAGAAACCATTAAAAAAAGGTTTTAAAACCTCAAAGGAAAAAAATGTAAGCGAGGGAGGCTGCAGCTAGCACTGAGGGCTCTCTATCTTGCGAACTCCTAAATTTTCGCCCTTCTGACAGCACAGACTCCCTTGGGGCTCCTCCTCAGGGGAGAGTAGGGATGCCTTCCAGCCTCGCTTTCCCTCCTGTCCTCGGGTTCGGGCCGCTGCGGCGACGACTAGCTCAGACTGTCCCCGCGGCCAAGGTGACTTCCTCGCGCCCGCTTGCCTGTCCCACCTCGCCGAACACCATACCGCCATTAGCGCATCCGAACCCCACACAGTTGCAACTCCTAACCCCGAATCTTTGCAGCCACTCGGCCCTGAAAGAGGCCCTAGACATGAGATGCCTTTCATCTGCAAACTCTGCAAACTGTGTCTCATATTTTGCAACTCTTCCCTTTTTTTCTCTCCCGCCAACCCCCACCGGCATTTTCTTCTTCCACCAGCTTTTACTGAACTTTTTGGCACTGCTTTGGATTGGAGTCAATTGCAGTCCACGCAACTGGCTGCAGAGAAATCGAAGGAGAAGGGAAAGGCGCGCACACAAGTCTGCAGAAGTGTCTCGGTTGGCACTTCTGTTTGATCCGAAATGACTCACATCCTGTACGGTGGATGGACTGTATATTGATGATTCCATTCTTCGCGCAGTTTAGAAATCTCTGTTGGGATTTGGCTTTTTGTTTGTTTGTTTGTTTTGTTTTTATTTTAAAAGGCACAAACTATAGATATTAGTTGAATGTTGAGGCTTTAACTTTTTTCGGTGTCTTTCTACAACTGTGTTCTGTGACTCAATTGTATCGTGTTAATATCAGTACAGACCGTCTTCTCTACGTGACCGTATAATGTTTTTTCTCTTGTAGTCTTTTTGGTGTGTCTTTATGGAGTACTAAGGTTCTCACGGGTTCAATTCCTTTGTGTTTAGAGAGATCACAGTTCAGACAATGGTATATATTTTTGTTATCAGGTGCATGTCTGTCTGATTTCTTTTTTTCTTCTCGTTGGGCTTTGTTTGTGAACATAAGCATCATAAGTTATGTTTCAGATTTTCAAATTTATTTATATGTGTTATAATGAATGCTTCTATTTAAAAGGGAAATATTTCTACATGTGCATATAGTTTTCCAAGAGTGTACCATTAACTTGATTGTTGATAATAAAAACAAAAAGCAAGTCTAGCAATTGAACTTTTCTGACTTTTCCTTGATTCGTTTTTGTTTTTCATTTAATTAAAAACAAAACGGTAACGGAAGAAAGAGGAAATTGTGCAAAGTCTCTAGAAGCCGCAGCGGCTCTGGAAACCTAGGCTGGCTGGAAAGTCGAAATTCATGCAGCCAAATTCAGCCAATATAAAATTTAGTGCTTGAGACAACGGCAGGATATTTTTGGTCCGGGCCTGTTTGTTTCCCAGTCACGGAGCACAAAAGAACATCAGGGCGTTGATAAAAATGTTCAGATCGGTGCCTAGGCAGAGGCCCCACGGACTGCTGGCAGCAAAGACAGGATTTGAATACCCGACTTTGAGAAGGACTCAGCTGCGGATTCTGAGCGTAGGCGCCTTCAGGACCGATAGGTTTTTGCGGTTCAGCCGACAGACCTCAGGCACCCAGGGACACCAAAGGGTCTCTACGTGGGCAGGTGGATCAGGAAGGCACCGGGCAGACAGCAGCTCTGCAACGTTTGTGTGTTTGGAGGAATAACACCTGCGACAACTGGAATTAGCAGTTGCACGGACCAGATTGTGCTTTTCAGGCGTTGTCCCATCTGCCCTTCAAAACAACATCACGAAGTAGGTACAATTTCTATCTTCATGTGCTTTTAACAGATGAGGAAGCTGAGGCAACTGAGAGGCTAACTTGCTCAAAAGCCCTGGGCATGAGCGATGGGGGCAGCCTTTGAACCCAGGAACTCTGATTCCAGAGCACGCACGTTAACTGCACCACTGGTTCCCAAAATGTGATCCTGGCGCCAGCAGCATCAGCATTACCTGGGAACTTGTTAGACGCAGGCATTCTCAGACTTTACCTTAGGCCTATTGAATTAGAAACCCTGGGAGTAGGGCCTAGCAATCTGTGTTTTAACAAGCCCTATAGAGGATATGAGAACCACTGAACTACACTATAAGAAACCCAAATGGGAATAGTTGTGTGTGTGTGTGTGTGTGTGTGTGTGTGTGTGTGTGGTGGGGGGGATGGGAAGATCTCTGGCAGCTTCAATGGTCCCCTTTTGGAAGGGAGGAGTCATCACCACAGCTCCCAGATGAAATTCTGCCTCCACCTTAAACTGCTTGACTGGGCCACCTTCTTTAAGCAGAAGCCTGTGTGTACTTCTGGTACTTACATTTGTACCTCTCTGTTTGGGCCTAATAAATAGATAAGTCAGTTCCCCTCACCTGACATCTGAGCGGAAGCTACAGTCTGCCTCCCCTGGTTTGAGGATTAGCAGCTGATATGGCTTGAATTTATCAGGGCGTCTCACCTTAAGCATCCAAACATGGCTTGCATCAGATCATACGGGTTTCATTCAGAAATTCCAAATCTTTGGATCTAACTTCTCATAGTTTTTCTAAAGGCCTTTTAAATAGTCTTTAAAAAAATCTGTCTCTAAATGCCCTTCACTAAACCTTTCAAGGCAACATTCTGTAAACAATGGCATTAATTGTGCTGGTCTAACATGCCTGCAATCTCAGATCCCTAGACCCCAGTCTTTGGTTGTAAATATAACTTAGAAAGGTCTGGGAGAGGGAAAAAAAAAGGCAAGAATTTACTGATGAAAAGAGCATTCTTCAAGGCTCAGGTAAACCAGTCATGGGCTTTGCTAGAGGAAAATGACCCTTGTCTTAGGCGCTGAAGACTACCAGGTAAGCCTCTGAGAGCTGATGGGCAGGCCAGTGGGACAGGCATTCTGGAGAAGGCAATACCAGGAGAGAGAAGGAAAACAAGGAGTAGACAGAGAAAGAAGAGAGACAGAGAAAGAAGAGGAAAAACAAGTAGAGAAACAGAAAGAAGAGGAAAAACAAAGAACAGTTTTTGGAAACCCCAGTGAAGGCCCTAGAAATCCTTTCAGATGTGAACAAACTACATGGGGACCCCCAAATTCCCTTCCTTTGGCCTTGACCTGCTTTGAGCACCTCATCTCCAGGAAAGGCAAATTCTAGGGATTGGTGAGGAAAACATGCTCCCAACCTCCACCTGACCTAGCTTCCCAGAGGACTGTGTTTTAAATGTCTGGAGGTATCCCCACTTTAGTATTTCAAATATCATCTTCTTTTTAATTTGGGTCACCTTTGCCTCTCTTAGTGGTCAAAGAAACGAAACTGTTGGGAAGCAAGTTTATGATTGCATGCAAAAAAATGCCCCTGTAATCTGATGGAGCCTAGTGGCAGGACACTCTGTCTCCTGAGTTGTGTCATTTCCTTGGAGCCTTGCACAGTGTGAACAAGCTCACTTTCACTTTTCCTCTCCTAAGGAATTTGCATTTTGGCTCATCAAGACATCCTTTTTCCTGGCAACTCCCGGGACCACATGTGACTTCACAAAAGCTGCATGAGCTGATGCCAGATGGCCACCTCTAAGCCAAGTTTCCTTCAAGATGGCTGAGTACAGAGAGCCAGAGTGGTTTTAGAGGAGAGCTGATAACCAGCAAACAGTAGCTGTCTATAACTCACACCGGAGGCTTCTCTGTGGCTACCTCATGTCCTTAAGGAGGATAGCCTGTGGCTAGACAGAGATGGCCCTCAATTCAGTGAAAGCATCTGTTGACCTTGGATGGCAAATGATCCCTCTAAGCTTGATTCACCCACCATAAATGTGAATAATAATACAGACTTGTGGGGTTGTTGGGGCATTAAATAATATATACAACAAATATCTGACACAATGGGAAGTTTTCAGCAAATGTCAGCTATTATTATTATTATTATTATTATTATTATTATCTACTTCTAGATTCTTTATTTCTTTAGCTGAAGTCTCAGAAGATTAAAAAGAGCCTTCAGTTGTCGCTTAAGTCAATGGCCCAAGAACGCAGAATGTGAGAGAATATGCCAAGTTTGGAACTGGAGAACTTTGCTGAGGGTGACAGTAACAGATTAGAATAAGCCATGGGCTGACAAGTAATAACTACTAATATGTATTGAGGGCTTATTATATGCCAGGTACTTTTAAGCTTACAAGCTTTAAAGCATTTAGTCCTTATAACTACCCTATGAGAAAAGTACTATTCCCATTTTTTTTTTAAGGAGGAAACTGAGACATAGAGGATTTAGGTAACATGCCCAGGGGCACAGAGCTAGTAGTATTGCAGCAGGAATCCAACTCCAGTTTGTCTCCAGACCTCATGTTCTTTAAACATTGCCCTTTAGAGTCTCTGCAAGGAGAAGAATTCCTTTTAGCCTGTGAGGTCATACACTACCAGACCTGGGAGGAGATCTCATCTCACCAAAAGATCCAGAAAGGTA